GAGAGGAAAGACGAATCTGAGAAAAGACAGTCGAAAATGTTGGGGCCTCAACTGACGCTGGGATTCACCAACTCCCTCCGGGAAGTAAAACATAAAGAGATCGCGAGGCTATTTTAAATACGGAAATGAGCGGTTAGTGGAATAAATGCTATTTTTGAAACACGGATGAAAAACTCCAAAAAAAACGTAAATATACGACTGAAAGCTAACTTTGTGCTATGTCTTTCTATGGAATATATTTGTATTAAATTAGGGAGAAGAAAGCACGTTGAATAATTATCCAAAGAAATTGAGTTTACAAAAAATTCATATACGAAAGTTTTGGTGCAATAGAGACAGAAAAGTGTAAAACATATGTGCCTTTTTGCTCAACGCTTTCTGAAAATTTTAAAATATGTAACGTTGTTGTTTTATTTTTTCTTAAGGAAATTGTATTATATCGTACATAATCGATGTGAACACGCTTAATGTTTTACATCAAATTTCGTCGTCAAAAGATTGGGGGATCTAGAAATTCGTTCCGATGTGATATTTTTACCAAAGAATTTTCCTGCACATTTTGTAACTTAGGAGGGTAATAATGTAGGAACCTATATCCATTATTATACTTATTCACACTTATCGACAACACTGCGCGGTCGCGAGGGGGAGGTGGCTGCGGGTTTCACACGGTCACAATAAACGACGGCTCCCCACGAGAAAGCACCTCGCCCACCGTACGCCCCAATGCAAATACGGGAGCCAGGAAGGCGGCCGCACACGCGACGGCGGGGCGCAGCGGACGCTGGGGCAGGGCGGGGGCGGCGGCGGGGGCGGAGGCAGGTAGAGCGCGCCGCGGGCGGGTGGCGGCGGCGCCGAGTCCCACATGCGCGCGCGCGCGAGGCTCCAATGAATAATCATCCTGCCGGCGGCAGCGAGGAGGGGAGTTAATAAATTAATAACCCGAGAGCGCGGCCGGCGTCGTAAAGCAAGTGCAGCGGGCGGCGGTGGCGGCCCGCGCAGTCCCGACCTAGGACACGCGCGCCGCTCCCTTCCCCGGATCGCAAGCCGGCCGCGCCCGCCGCGCCTCCGCCGTGCTTCTTTTATTTTCGCGACACCGGAGAGTCGGCCGGCCGGGCGCGCGGCGTGCACGCCCGGGGCCGCCTCCCCGCCAATGCCGTCGCCGCCGCCGCCGCCGCACCGCAAGACTCGTGGCGGCAATTACTCCCCGCGCGGTGCATCTTGCTCCACGCCGACCTCGCTTCGGTCGCGCGGGTCGGCTGCCGCTGCTATCGCTTGTCGTGGTCGTCCGCTGAGGAAACGTATTTCGTGTTTTAATTCGGTCCAGTATGCTAATATGTTTAACGTATTTGTAAAGTTTTCGAGAAGTATCCTCGTGATGTTTGATTATGTGAAAATGTTTATAAATCCTTAGTAACTGCCCAGTATTTAATATTATAGCTAATTTCCCTGACGCAATATCACTTGAACGTTTTCTAATTAACTTTGTACAAGATAATTTGCAAATTCTCGGAATGATCACAACATTCTGATGTCAGGTTATTTATGAAGTAGAGAACAGTATCTTGTTCTGCAGATAATGACCACTATTGTCTTTGATCTCGTTGTCACATTATGAATACAAAATGTAAACAACTGCGATGCCAACTGTCAGATCTATCTCGCCGACGGGACCTCCGCGCTCACGAGTCAATTTCAACCGTCCAGATTATATCGTGCGACCATAAGCCGAATGTACATATCAACAACGAAGACTAAGCCATTATACGTTGTTGCTGTTTTGTTCTGCTGTCTCATTGCAGACAATCAGATTAAAACGATCTCCGTTACTCGTATAAATTAAAAACACGAAAAGTGAATGAATATGTAATGTAAAGTTTTGCCCAAAGCATATTTTTCATTTAAGTACAGAGAAGTACATTTTCTGATAATTAAAAAAAAAATATTTAGACGCTGTGTGGATAATTTCTTGGCGCCGCTGACGTCATAAACTTCTGTTTTCACATTTTTAAATATTAAAAATGTTGGGATTTGCGAGGATGTGTTGTCTGTATTCACAGGAAAGACTTTGCAAGGGGTACCGTTTTCGAAACAAGCGTACAGTTTATTTCATGCAAGGTTGTAAGAACTGTGAATAAAAATGTCCCTTGCGCTCGTATTACAATTTTCGTTCAAGATCATTGTATTATTTTTAAAAATCTTCATAAACTGTTCCAGAGCATTTTTCTTATCAGGTCACAAGGAAATCGAACTCTGAACATGAAATTTCGAATTCTGTATCCCGGAGTAAGACCTTGTTTGTATCAGGTGAACTCTCGGAAATATCTATTAGATTTCCATTTCTAAAGTTCCTCCTTGTTGCCTTATAAGATAGAGGATTCAAAGGGGGAAAACCCACATGATATTAAAACATCGTAAATATATGACGCAGCTGTTTATATCTTGTATCGAAATCCCGATAATTACTCTCGAGGCTATTCCCAATACCTCTGAGGGCAATTTACGACCATCTCAGATCGTTCCATAAATTCCAATGAGCGTCGGTCCCGACGGTTCCCCGCCGCTAATCACACCTCTTAGCGGAGGCCACACATCGCCCCGCTCCAGCAGCGAAAATTGTTTTTGTACCTGCACCGCCCTGCGTGCTGGAGGCAGTCTAGGGAAGAGGCAGAGTTGGGGAGCCTTGTGGTACTCCAATAGGGTGAGAAAGCGGATGGACGATGGTTCCAGTGGATTGGGCTGAAACGTCGGATTTTTTGGGCAATAATGGCGCTGCTTCAATCGAGGACCCCGAATATTATATGTTTTCCTCGTGTTGTATGCTCTAATTCCTCACATGCTAACTCTACCGCCACGTCCACAACTGCCCTTGCTCCGTAAGCTTTTTTTTTTCTTTTCCTCATCACTAATCCCTTCAGGTAGCTGCTGTTGTCGCCATTGCCACCATCCTTCCTTCCGCCTGCCTCACTCGCCCAGTAAACCAAATCACAAGCACATCCAGCATCACTTCTCCAAATCCCAACGCTGGCGCGCCAGTCCTATCTTGTCGCGAGTTGTTAGGAGAGAGTAAAACAGACGCGTTGATCACATGGAAATTTTGCCTAATTTTCATCATCACACACTCGCAAAGAAATTCATCACCCAGTCTGCCTATGTATGCGCCACAACCAAAACCCATCACCTTCCCGTTTCGCCCGCAGCATTAGACAGTTTCCGGGAGCCAGGTCGTAAAGCACAACCCAACGGGTATCCGGAGCCTTCGCCACCACCATCATCACGGCCGCAGCCGATACCGGGCTCGCACGGGACGAGGCGGCTCTCGCTCCAGATTAATGGGGTGTGCGAGGAGGCGCAGGCCCAGGCCCAGGGGCCCGGTGCTTTATTCGTGTGTTGACGCTCCGCCCCCAGAGGCCTTGCGCGCCCGGACCTCCGGTGGGTGCCTGGCTCGCCGCCGCGCCCAGGGCTTCCAAGTCACGTGCGCTTCTCGTAACGATCGGTGAATGGGTGCGTCGGTGCTCGTTGGGTCTTGTCGTTAACGTGGTGGGAGAGCAGCAAATTAGTGGGCGTAGGCGCAGAATGTCGTCACATACTTGTACTGATCCAAGATCCTGACGAGAGAATTCTATTTTTTTTTTTTTTCTTCTTCGCGGTAGGTGTTTTATGTGAGGGCGGAGATCCACTTCAATGAAAACTTCTTCAGATAACTCTCCACTGCCCAGAGAGAAGATTCCTCCGCAGGAAATATTAAAAACATACTTGAGATATTTTGACTCGTATGATCAGTTGTTGATTTGTACATTTCATTCATCCATTTGAAATTAGTTCGCAGATCGATAAGATCAAATTAAATGTCCCACAGCAATAAAGTATGCATTTCCTCGTAAATAATCCAACAGATGCTGCTAGAAACGTTACAGAACTCATATACATATAAATTATGACAACAACTTCGTTCTTTTAATTCGATTTTTAGTACCAGGTATATTAATATATTATGCTTAAAATGATATAATCTCAAAAGTCATTTGAGCTATTCTGATTTCTGAAGATACAATCCTTAGACTTCTTACTTGGGTATTTTTTTTGATAAGATAAAAGAAATGTCGCTTTTTGGTCTTTTCAACATAATTATATAAGTTACAAGCAAAATATTTGTTGACGTAAAGATATTTGTTTTCTTGGACGACAGTGGGCGAAGTGAAGTGTATTAATATGAGAAAAATCAGAGGTATTAGGAGGGCAACGTGAAAGGAGAAAGGAGAGACAAAATGTACATTACAATGGAACTTACGTAGTCCAATGAAAATATCGAATGAATTCCAAACTCACTGGTTAAGATATCACTTGGAACTACTCGATTCGTTAATATAGCCCTAATTGGCAAATGCTAAGGTCCCGCCTCTTCGAGAACATAGGCTTCCGCGGCAGTAACTTACTTGGCTGTCCGGCAGACGCCGCGTCCTCGGCACGCCGAGACCTTCTTCAGGGCGAAATTCGCATTCGAGAGGTCACAGAATGGCGACGGAAACGTTGGCAGCAGTGGCTAGTACGCGGCGTCTCCCGCTCAGCGACGTAGCCGTTGCCCACCGCTTCGGGTCGCGTGCGCCCGGCGCGAGGCAGTCGCCTCCGAGGGCGGTCGACCGCCAGCGGAGCGGTGCGTCCCGCGCGGGGTGGTCCGCCACGGGTCGCGTGGTCGGAGCCCGCGCGCGGCGCGGCGCGGCACCACACCCGAGGGCGGGCGCGGGGCGGGGCGGAGCGGGGCGATACCGCCGGTGGCGCGGCCGCAGGCTACGGTGCACGGGTGCAGCTAATGTCGGTAATTACGCAGCAGACGCCGCCGCCACCACCGCCCTTCCCGCCGCTAGCCTTGCACACCCGTCGGGCCGTTCCTTTCTTTTTTTTCTTTTCTTTTTTTCCCCTCGCGCGGCTCTCAAATTACAAGGAACCGCTTGCCGGCCGGTAATCAAGTTAATCTTTGAATGATTTTTCTTTCATGTCGAATGAACTGGGGCGGTCGGGGCGGCCGCGACGGCGGCGGCGGCGGTCGGCGTTGGCGCGCGTCCAAACACGAGGAAGATTCGGCGCCGCCAAATACGGCGAGCCGAGGTTGTTTTGAGAGAGGAGCCACACAGCCCTGCATGATGGTTGTTGGGAGTAAGAAGGCCTGGGAGGGACTGTTGGGATCGGCCGTGGTCCAGAAGATACCAGATGCAAAGGCAGATTATGACGAACGTACTCTCGAGTTCAGAAGATCGGAGGACCGCAAAAAAATTAACTTTGTTGGTTTCCATCTCAGGAACATGCCGTTTGGACTGCGCCTTCGTCTCCAAGCCGCCAAATATTAGTGAGAATGTTTACGAGACACACTGAGATTCATGCTCCTAGAGGCCATGTATCGAAACTGTGGAGGTGCGAAGAGCAGTATTTGCCAATATCGTCCTACCAAGTTTCACTGACGTAATATTTACTATAAAAACAAAATTTGAGCTTCAAATAAAATAGAAAACGGTTTGGGATAAAATTTTAAAACTCTTAAAGACAAATAATTTAATTTCTTTGTTATAAAAAAGAAACATATTTACTATCTCAGAACGGTTACATCTGAAATAAAAACTGTACTACTCAATTCAGCAGAACATTATCTGTAGGAACATTGCAACCACTTTATGCCTACGACGAATATATTTATAATATTTTCTCATAATTTCGTTTCATCGAAGAGAAATAACACCAGAACCATGGACGCACTGAACTCTTGTATTCCTTAAGGAATCATCTGTAACAATTTCCGTTTCTTTGTTTTACTTACCGAGGGATGTGTATTGTATTGTATACATGTATGTATTTATTTAACGTCAAAAACAGTTAAAATCTGTGCGACATCCTGTGGAGGAAGAAGTGCAACATGTGCGTGATTTCTTGAGCCCTGGGATGCGTGTTGTAACGGACGCGTGTGCTTGCAGAGGGCGGGCGCCTGGAGCGGGAGCTGGAGTACACGCGGCGCGCGCTGGGCGAGGCGGACGCCAGCACGCACCAGCTCGTCATCCAGACGCCGCGCGACGAGGGCGCCTCGCTGCTGCACGCCGGCGCGCTGCTCGCGCACCTCGACGTGGTGCGCGCCGCCGTCGCCGTCACCGTCCAGCTCTTCGACACGTGAGTGCCCCTCCACTGCTCCTTCGCTTCGAGCTTTGCTTCGGATTTCATTTTCTTTTCTTTTTTTCTTTCTTTTTTTCTTTCTTTTTTCTTTCTTTTTTTCTTTCCTTCTTTCTTTCTTTTTTCTTTCTTTTTTCTTTCTTTCTTTCTTTCTTTCTTTCTTTCTTTCGTTCTCTCTTTCTCTTGCTTCTTTTACAGGGAAGGGGGTACTTGCTGGAAAACCGGGCAAAATCAGGGATTTTTATTGCCATGAAAAAGTCAGAGAATTTGCAGACGAGTTTGATTCAGGGAAAATTCTGAGACGGTTATAAAATTAGTTAATATTCCCTAAAAAAAATAGTAAAGCATTACTTTTTCTTTAACTCCTTTTTTTTAGTTAGTTTGTACTTTACCATGGTGAAATCAGACCTGAAAAAATTCGTTTCAGACATTCTTTAATATTTTCTTGAAATGCTCTCTGAATATTATCTATGAATATTATCCGTAAAAGTTTTTTGTTGTTTTTTTAATGTTCAGGAAAATCCTGAAAGGACAGGGAAATTTGTTTCAGGAAGTGAGTGGTCACTCTCTGTTATCTTCTCTTTTATCTTTATACTTCTCCTTTACCGCATTTTCGTCCTCATGTTCATCTGATATATCTCCGTATTGTTGTTCCTTTAACGAGGCATGATTTTGAAAGGCGTAGTGTACTGGATAATTTGAATACATGAATCGGGAAAAACAAAAACGTTCGATGTCCTGCAATTTTGAAGAGCAAGCAAAAAGTTTTAAGTTCCGAACATCAATCATTTTATATTAACATTAATAGTTGAAAGACACTCTACAGCCGTCGCAGAGTTCACGGACAGCGAACTTTTATGCACGGAACGTTGAATTTATATTTTAAGAAGTTTCCCACCGTTAATCAAAACCGGCAAAATGTGCCATCGAACCTTTTTGCTTTGCACAGATTCACGAGTGTTTTTGAGAAATGAATGATATCGTTCTTTTTATGGCAAAATAGTCAACAATAAATGAGTTACGGGGACGTGCACATTTCTTCCTTTCATCGCATTTTTTTCTACTTGATAAACTGTATAGCAATGTTAATTGTACAAATTTCGACAGGTGTCTTTCGACAGATGAAACATAATTACATGTACCTTTGACTTATGAATTACCGCTACAGTAAAGTCTGCTCGCCCTGGAGGGTTGCTGCGAAAGACTATCGAAATTCAGGAGCCAGTGCTTTACTGATGCACCTCACATGCATTGTGCATTGCACACTAGCACTCGACGCCGGAAAAGGCAGCAAAGAGAGCATACAATGAAAATAAAAGAATGGTGAAAACATAGAATCCTTAACTGTTGCGAAACAAAGAATAAAACATAACGAAATTGCGCGTTTAATTATTGAGCAATTTAAGAGTGCATCCTTCAATTGTTCAGTGAAAGCTATTGTAATCACATGATTTTTAAAATAAATGTTGCACTTCTATTATTGACATTATAAAAAACAGAAACTGGGAAAAAAGTGATTAAAACTTTCGTACTTCATTTTCTGTTTCGATGAAATATTGCTGCAAGAAACTTTCGAGCAGATCTCACCAGAAAATAAAAATTGAAGGATAACAACATCAGTTGAAAGAGTACATGAAAATGGCACATGCTATTTTTTTTCGTGTACATTATTTTGCCAGTTGAAACGGCTGCTGTGAAACCGCCCGAAATTAAATGCTACGCGTGTGTTAGGCCCACTTCGTGCCACCGTGCGGCGGCGCGGCGCGTGTGATGGCGAGTGGCAGAGCGCGACGGAGGCGTCGCGACGTCGCTCGACCGGCGCCGCGCAAACAGGAAAGGCGTCGCAGCGTCGCGAGGGGGCCTGGCACACACACAAAGGCGTCGCGGCGCCGGGTCATCTCACGCGCCTAGCCGCCGCCGCCGCCGCCGCGAGACAGCGGAACGGCACGGTGACGGCACGGCGTGCCCGAGAGGGCGGGGCGCGAAACGAGAACGCTCGCATGACTCAGCCTCCGCGTGGCCGGCCGAGGAGTCCACAACAGTCGCCCAAGGTGTTGATGGGAGGTTGGAATTGCACAGGAGTGCCGAACTTCATTCGTGTGTAAATCTCCAGTCTTCGCAATGTTAATTTGGAACGATTCATTTTCTCGACAGATTCGTCAGAAATCTTGATATTATATCAAGAGGAAACGTTCTTTGGAGTGGTCAAGAACGAGAACCCTGCTACCATGACTCACCCACCACACATGGTCAGCGCTGTGTCCATTACAGTCACCGAAGGTGTTCAAGAGGTTTTCAACGAACTTAGAACGAAAGTGCTAAGGCAAGGCGATGAACTATCTTCGTCCCGAGAGCCTATCGGCAGAACTCCAGTCTACAGAGTGTTTGAGACGATTTGTTATCTAGACGGAAGCATCAGAATCCTTTACATGAAATTTCATCAATAGAAAATTTCGTTAGAGAGATAAGGAACGAGAACGCACGCATTGTTCTAGGAAGAATTCTTTTCGATTCGAAAGGCTATAGATAAAGACGGGACCCCAATACACGTTTTCTTAATTGTTGGAATTACGCCTTTGCCTGTTGGAAATAACGTAAAAATTCTTGGAACGAAGTTGTGTCAAAAAAGTCCATTGAAGTGATCAGGAGTTGCATTAGACCTGATGGTGGAAATACGGTATTTTCAATTTGATCATACACATATAAGATGTGTGAAAATTTGAGTAGCACTTTCGAGCTCAAAGTAATTTCTTAGTCCAAATCCAAAATGCATTGCAGCGACAGGTCTACTCTATCTATCAGACGGTGTCCGCTATTATGAACTAACTGAAGAAATTAATCAGCGTCACGCAGAGAGATGGTAGGATCCCCTCGTAACAACAAGCTTACGGTCAAAACGGGGTATTTTCTCTTACGCATTTCTTGTGACTTGTTGTCTGGTTGGCGGATTCCGGTGACGAGTGAAACGTAATATTGCGAGGCAGGCTCTGCTAGCGGTGAGGGCGCATGGCGAGCGTGGCGGGGAGGGGTCGGCCGGGGCGGGGCGCGGTGTCTGTCCTCGGCGCACGGGCGGCGCGGTATTTCGTGGGAGGTTTATTGCCGCCGCCACGACGCGCGCCCGCCACGCCACGCCACGCCACGCCACGCCACGCCGTCTCACGAGACCGCATCTCCAAGCAAGCGCCCGGGAAGGACGACCCCCGCCCGGTAATAGGATCATCTCGTAGACTCCATGGTTCTAGGAGAACAGGATAACGTTGCCCACCTCCCGACAGTACAACAAATGCGCAGTCGGGCCCCGCATCATCTACAGAGGAGGGATTGTAATAAATAAATGGTCACAGATGGTATTTCATTATGCTTCAATAGCAACATTAAAATGCATTTTTCGGGGCATGAAACTCTGGTTTCTGTGGAAATTCGTTGCTTCCGTTTCTCATTAGAATATTTCACCGAATGAATTATGCTAAGGTTAATCAGTCATTGTAGCTAGATGGCTTGTAAATCAATGAATATTGCGCGGACCATGCTAAAAACAGACCCACCTTAGTAGTACCTCTTCCCCTAGTATACCCGAATGGTGTCCATCTGCCGACTCCTAGTCCCTCGCTGTTTGGTCCGACCGCAGACACGTGACAAATCCCAACGAAAAACAAAAATTGATATACATAATAGAAGAATAATAAAGCAATGTAAATGATAGTGTAGATGCAAACCAACTGCAGTTGTATAAGGGAAAAGATCGCTAAAAGAAAAATAGACGCGAGATAATTTAATAAGTTGTAGAATATCACGTTAGGGCGATGAAGAAAGACACCTATCGGAAATTCCTCACAATAATGTCTTAAAATTTATTTTCCTTTCAGATATTGGAATTTCTTTCCGTTGAATTCTTTGAAGAAATTAACGATGTATTTTCTTTTACAGAACTTGGAGACTGAAAGATATTTGTTATTCGCCCAGTATTCCAAATTTTGAAGAAAATTATATAGATCAAGTAAGTATCATCGATATTTGAATATCTAAATGATAATATTAAAAAATATTACTATAATAATCCATTACTATTATTCACAGATATTCGAAAACGTAATGCCATGTGCCATCATAACACCTTTAGATTGCTTCTGGGAAGGCTCTAAATTGCTGGGTCCTGATTACCCTGTTCACATACCGTAAGTATTCGTATTAAAACTATTAATGTTGATGGAATAAGATCCGTAAAAATTATTGTTGCAATCTATCATTACAGTGTCCCGCTAACTTTGCGTCTTCATTTTCAGAACTTTAGGAGCTAAGGTGAAATGGACAAATCTCAACCCCTTGAAAATTGTGGAGGAAATGAGAAATTTCGATTTCCACCATTTTCCCTTCGACACTTTGGAGGATTATATGAAGAGGGTAAGTAAATAATAATTAAAAACTTCCGATTTTTGTTTGTATGCAGGCTAGAACATTTCTTGGTGCCTGTAATTGTATTAATCACACGAATTAGGGTTAATTTCGTTAAAACAAAAGCTTAAATCCTTTTTGCACGGTCTCTTCTGCTACTTTAATTATATCCATCGTGAAAAATAATCGAAAAATAAAATATTGAATTCAAATATACTAATAATAATGCGTATTAAGTCTACTCGAGAAAAATACAGAATTAGAAGGATTCATACTACTGCATTCTGATAAATAAAACATTAGAATAAAGTGGACTGACTTTGAAGCACTTTCAAAACGCTTTGTGGAGGGAAATGCATTTAAACTAGCATTTAACTTTGATGATTCGCACTGAGATCAAAACAATTTTTTTTAATTGATCAATCTACTTAATCGACATTTGAAAGCGGAGAAGACACTCTGGATTTCTCGACCTCAACAATAAGTCAGAACAGAAACCCGTACACTTTGAGGTTGGCGCACACCGCGATCCCACTTCCGCGGGCACTTGACGGTCCCCGCCCGACCCTCCCTTGCTCAACCGTGCCACGGCGAAGGCCTGGCGCCACCTGCCCGGTATGGGATTTAACGAAACTACCCGCAACACTTTTCTCCGCACAGGGTGGCCGCCACTGTCTCCGTGCTTGCCGGGACAGATAAAGCCGGTGAGGGAAAGACCGCAACGCGGAGGGGCGATTTCGGACGGACTTAAAAGCGGCTTGTAGAGATGTCAGTCGGCGGCGTGGTCGGTCGATCGGAGGGGAGGCCGCCAGGACCACCCAACCCGCCACCGGGCGTTCGACGCATAAATAACCGCCCAGCTCGTCCTCGCCCCCGACGTACTGATCTTTTGTGATGTACCGTTGAGATGCCGCCGCTAGAACGAACCCACTCCTCCCCAACCCGCCATCGCCATCGCCATCGCCTGCTTCGCTTTCCCCTCCTCTTCCTAATGCAGTAGAACCCCGGTAATTGGAAGTAATTGGGGGTGTGATCTGTTTGGATTATCCGAAAAAAATGTACATCTATAGGAGTACCAGACACAATGCATTGTGCGAAGCAATGCAATGCAATAGCAACGTAGCGTAGCGATCGTTTTATCAAGCAGAGTCAGTTCCTTACAGGAAAAGAAGATTATCAATTTTGCAAGTGCCTCTAAGTGAAAATTACTGCTACATAAACATGGGATATACACCGTAGGTACCAGTGCAATAAACGTTTCTTTTCGCCAACTCGTGTTCATAATTAATTAGTTGTTCAGTTCTACAGTAATTATAAAATCCTTTCTTTACACTACAAATAATCATTTTATTTATTTTTCCTCCATCCTGAATTTTTTTTCGGATTATCCGAAATTTCATATTTGCTGGGTTTCGGATTAGCGAGGTTCTACTGTACTCTTTGCTTCGTGATATGGGCCATGCGTCGGTCGTCACTGCTCCAGCCTTCGCTTCCGCTCGCTCACGCCCTCCTTCCCCCCTCATCAACGAAAATCTTCAATTTTAGATTAGCTTTACTTCTACATTATACAAACTAGTGGTGCTACATCAGCAAGCGTTTTCTCGCATTGTTTGTAGCTTTACGTAACTTTTATTTTTACGACATACTTTTGTGCAATTTTAGAAAAATTAATTGCTTACTTCATATTTACATTTATTCAAGATGTTATCCATTTAAAAAGATAAAAGAAAAAATTGGAACCGATTTTCAGATTTCTTTAAAATTCCCTTTTAAAATTCATTTAAAATTATGCGAAACCTACTCATTTTGAAAAAATGAAAACGACCTAGTTCTGAAAAACAGATTTCATTGACAAAAATTTCTGTCTTTAATATTGTCGTGATAGGAAGAACACGAAAAAAAAATATCTTTTGCAATTTTCGAAAGTGCAAATAATTTAACGAAAATCGGACCTACGCCATTTTCAGAAATGTACTTTGGTGTGTCTGAGAAGAAAAAACAAGAAAAAAATGAACATAATATTTGAAAACATCGTCGTGGCTTCATGAAAAATACCCCCAAAACCAAAATATTCAAAGAACCGAGAAATCAGCTAGATCGATGAATTAATATTACTTTTTGTGAAAATCATTTTACATTAGCCGCTAGCGTTTTTCACAGCCTGACGGACATTTTGCCATAAACCAATTTTTGGTATCAAGGATCCATAAAACAAGGACTGTTGACCTTAACACATAGTGATAAAAGAAGTAATTCACTACATATTGGAGCATGAAATATCCACATTTTCGATACCAGGGTCCCTCAATACAAATATTTCTGTCGAAAAAACTGTGTTTTTCACCTTAGCATACATAACTTTCTCTAGACTACTACTAAGAAGATCGCAAGAAAGTAAATATTAATGTATGGTATGAAGCAATTTGTACACATAAAAATAGGTATCTTTCAAAACGCAAGGGTCAATTGAATGTATTTTATTTAAACAAAAAATGTCCAAACATGTAAACACGTTTTAAATGAAATCTTGGTTTGAAACTTACTCAGATACAGCAACCTCTGATCCAAAGAAATCAAAGTATATTTATCACATAAAAGAAGTATGATAACATAATTAATAATCACCACCAATATGAAAATAAAAACAAAACTGCTTGTACAATTAATAAATTCTAAGGAATAAATACTAACAAGAATCAAATTCATGTATTTTTCAGGCAGGAATTAGTAGTGGGTACCAAGAAAAACCATGCCTCGATCCTAGTGATGTCGAATGCCCAGAAACAGCATCAAACAAGAAAGCTGGCCAGGTCTGTTGTTTTTTTAAATTATTTTTAATTACTTAATTTACGTGTCTATCAACTTATACACACATATGTGTGTAAATACTTTTTTTTCCTAAAACACTGAATTTGTAATGAGATTCCCTAATGTTTCTCCTAATCGTTGGTTTATGTTTTGGTTCAGTCTCCAGATATTGGTGCTGAACTGACAGGAGGGTGTTATGGATTTGCTGCCAAGTACATGCATTGGCCAGAGGATCTAGTTGTTGGAGGTACAACCAAGAACAAAACAGGACATATTCAAAAGTGAGTAACTATATTTGAAGATATGGCTATTAGCAGTCTTATTAATTGGCACAAGCAGTCTTATTAATTGGCATGCAATACGCAGACAATGATGTTTCATTGTTATTGTTTTATAATTTCAGAGCAAGAGCCTTACAAACAGTAGTTCAGTTAATGGGAGAGCGAGAGCTTTATGAATTCTATTCAGATACATACAAAGTTCACCATGTCGAATGGACTCAAGAAAAGGCAGCTATAGTTCTTGAAACATGGCAAAGAAGGTTTTCAGAGGTGAGATATCTATTCATTCTCTACATTTTGAGCACAGAAAATGTTTTTATTTGGAACAATCTAAAAATGAATTGCTTCTTGCAGGAAATACGTCGTCAGCTCAATGGAGAAAACATTACTGCGTACAACATATATGCATTTTCTACAGCTACATTAAATGATATCCTTAGTCAGTTCTCAGAGCTCAGTGTTGTAAAAATGGTAGCTGGATATCTTTCAATGGTAAGATATTGAAACAAGATACTCCCGTAGTGCCAAATGAATATAATATTCTTTTTAGCCTATGTTTAAACTATTTCTTTCTCCAGTTGCTGTATGCAGGAGTTTCTCTCTTTCGATGGCATGATCCAGTTCGCTCACAAGCAGGAATAGGCATAGCAGGTGTTATCCTAGTCTCCATTACTGTTGCAGCTGGCCTAGGTTTTTGTGCCTTGTTGGGCATTGCATTTAATGCATCTACCACACAGGTACATATTTACAACTGCATATACACTACCTTATTGTAAAGTGCATTAAAGAACTTGATTGATATTTTTTCATATCATAGCCAATAAACAAAATCAAATGCATGTTTTTACAGATAGTGCCATTCCTTGCCTTGGGTCTGGGTGTTGACGATATGTTCCTTTTAACACATACGTATGCGGAGCAAAATTCTTCAAATATTAAATCAGATGTGAGTACAAATATTTTAAAAACATACACTTATAAAAATTTAATCTATGAAGTATTTTATGGAATATTAATTTTGTCTACAGGAACATACTGGCATTGTCCTGAAAAGATCTGGGCTAAGCATTCTGTTAACTTCCTTGAGCAATGTTTGTGCCTTCTTTGCAGCTGCTATCATTCCCATTCCTGCTCTAAGAGTCTTCTCCCTCCAAGTAAGTCACTTTAATAAGGTGTTAACAAAAAATATTGATTATTAGATTAACCTCTGATCTAAGAAAAAAAAGCGTCACATTTTATTATTCATGATAATGTTCATCTTATGTGGTTACTTCCATTTGTAGTATATTTTTGTGCAAATTAATAACAACTGTATTTTATTTCAGGCAGCAGTATTAGTCCTTTTCAACTTGGGTGCAATGTTGCTCGTCTTCCCTGCCCTAGTTAGTTTTGATCTCCGTCGTAGACGAGCAGGGCGATTAGATTTGCTTTGCTGTTGTGTCGCTCCATCCAGTTCAGATACTGGAAGCCATATGTGGCCATGTATTTCTCTACCTCCAGCACCACAGAGAACAAATCGGCGAAGAGGGCAAGTTGTACCAGAACAACCAAAAAAGTTGCAGGCTATCACACGAGCACTACCCCCGGATCGTCAGCAAACAGTCACTGTTCTAGCCAGTCCACAGCCAGCCACTCAATTGCCTAATGCTCCAGTAAGTAATTCCTTTTTACTCACACATTCATTGAGCAAAATTTCATGTGCAAAATAGTATAATTATTGTTTTATGAATTGTATTTTAATTCATTCAAAAAATTAAAAATTGCAAATATATTTTATATACTTAATCTTTTAGAAAGAAAGTAAAAGTCCT